TTGAAAGCCACTTTGAGAGAAACTGTTACATTGAAATAATCTAGTCTTCTAAGCTCAAAGAAGAATTGGTTTGATTATTTCAAAGTCCAACACTCATCATCAACCATCTTTCAGTCTAAGGAAGTTTGGAGATCAAACCTAACAAGGTGACTTCGTGATTGACCATTGGCTAGCTCTAATCGGGTATTGAAAGACAAGTCAAAGAGGGTTCGTGATTGTCTCAAGGATTGTCAACTAGTGGAAGTTGAAGGTTTATGATCACCTTGTATTTTTTTAATAATTACTTAGTGAAGTCTTCCTTTTGAGTTTAAGGAGAGGAGTGGAGTAAGAGTTTTACGAACCACTATATATATATATCTCTTTACATTTTAATTTGTTATTATTTATTTATTTTGCTACATCATTTTTATTGGTAAGTTTTAAGACTTCCGCGGCAAAGAAATTAAATTTGTTTCCTAGCTTTGATTTTTTCTAAATTCAAGCTCACTTAGAGTAATTTGAAAACCGAAGAAATTTATTGTATTGTAAAGGAAAGCTTGTTAAAACATTGAAGAAATTTATTTCACAAGGTCAAAGATTAAAATGGTGACCAAATCTCAAAAAGCCACATAAAATAAAAGCAACATATATACAAATTAAACTAGTTATAAGCAAGACTCGGTGTCTCCAAACATCTCCTCGATCTACAAAAGATTGAGACATCTAAGGTGTTGTTCATGTTTAGGATCCAAGTGTTGGCGTGGTATAATGGCCGCGCTGATCCACCACTACATACACCTGTAACATCTAAGATAAAGATTGATCAAAACAAGAATAATGAATTGGTTGAACGGACTAATAAATGTGTCGATATTGTGTGAGAAAACGTATTGCTAGGTTAAAGGTAAAGGATTAAACCTGAGTAAGATTGCATTTCATGAGGATATGATAGTGTTTGTGCCAACTCCTTTTTACAGCCATGGTGGCAAGAAATAAGCCATATGCAATGCCACAAATAACAATGACAACTAGGGCAAGAAGAAGCATATAATTGTAATAGGAAGGAACTTCCACATGAACATATATGGCCAAGAAGATATTCTGGCAGGCAGCTATATATACCCTGGTTGATAAATAATAAATGGTTTGAAAACTGATAAAAACTTACACCGAAATGGAACGTCATGTAATTTATTTCAGTCACAAGCAAATCCACACTGCCAAGACAAATATGAAAGTGTACATCAAAGAAAAACGATAAATAACCTTGACTTCTTATGATACCACAATACCATATGAAAGTCATGCGAAAGTAATCACAAATTGGAAATACAAAAATAGTCTCCCAATTCAACAATATGAAATCACTAACACACACTTAAATTGGCTTTCAACATCAATGTTTGCCACTCAATGCTTGGGAATTCCTCGAACCACATGTCTGAGACTCTGAGCAACCATAATAAGAAAGTAAAATTACTTATAATTGCGGCAATCAAGCTCAATCTGCTGAAAAAAAAAATTGAAAGAAATATTAAAAGTAAAATTTTAAAGAATTTGACTTACCTCCAGATGAGATCACTGTCAAGAAAGATATAAAAATAGATAACTCAATTCTGATCCACATATCCTTTGCATCAAGAAAAACATACACACCAACTTTAATCCTTTCATTTCAAGAAAACAATTCACATCGCTGACCGGACAATTAATCATCCAACACCTGAAGAAAAATGTAAAACCAATTTTTTTTTTTTAAATAATCTAATAATCCATTTAAAATAATCTAATCCAATAATATCTTTATTTTGTTGATATTAACATGAAAAGAAAAACCTTAAATTAATTGTTGAGTTTATTACCGAAATGGTCCCTCGACTATTAAGAAATTACCAATTTGGTCCTCAACAATTTTTCTTACCCAATTAAGTCCATCGACTTTGAAAATGTTAACCATTTTGGTCCTCCGTTAGATTAGGTGTTAAAAGTCTTTTAAATTAGAGGGCATTGATGGAATTTCACATGAAAAGACCCCAAGGCCTTGCTTAAGTAACAAACTCCTTGAGACACAGTAAAAGATTATGTTATCTATAATCTTTATTTGTAAGATAGTTGCAAAAAGATATATAATATGCTTACTATTATTTCTTCTGAAGGAGTAGAGGTGCTAGGACCGTCGAATTTACCAATGTTGACATTTTCCTCCCCATGTAATTGCTTATGCGCCTGTAGGAATAATAATATATTGAAAGGGAAAATAATTCAAATTCTTCTTCCATCACTTCAATTAAAACAATTTTTTTAGTATTAAACAAATCCTTCTAGTACCAAGACTATGTGGTCTAATAGTATCCAGGTTGGACTTTCATTTGAAAGATTGTGAGTTCGAGCTTCAATGGAGGATTGAGAAAGTATATGAATAGATACTACATATTGTAATAGAGCCAATAACATTCAAAAAACAAATCCTTCTAGTACTTCACAATTCTATATCTGGTAAAAAAATTAACATATTTTGCAACCTCTATTGTCACATATATCATTTATTCTCTCAAACAAAATCACCATCAAAACATAAATATAATGAAACTTATAATTAATGTTATAAATTTTTAAAACATACAAAATTTTAGCGACAATTTAATCTAATAAAAAAGGTTGAGACAATATACTTAGTTAATTACTTACAATTTCTTGTGACGATAAAACACACACACACACATTTTCTCAAAAATAGCCCACAAAACACCAATCTAATATAATTTATTAATTTAATTTATAAATACTTTGGAATTCAAATCTCCCTAAAGATTATGTTGTGTGGTTGAAAAGGTCAAGACAATATACTTACAATTTCTTGTGATGAAGTAGAGGTGTTGGGTTGGTCGAATCCATTGGTGTTGACATTTTCATCCCCATATGCTAGGTTATGTTCCTGTGAGGAATAATATAAATTCAAAATTTTCTTCAATTCTATCACCTCAATTAAATAAAAAAGAATTAATAATAATAACCAAACTTTCTAGTAATTCCCCATTCTCTATCTACTAAATAATTAACATACTTTGCAACCTCAGCTAGAGTAACTTTCACTCATTCTCTCAAATAAATTCACCATCAAAACATAAATCTATTACAACTTACCTTTAAAGTTTTAAAATTTCAAAACATACAAAAACTTAAAAGACAATTTTAATTTGCTCTCTAAAAAAGTACTTCAATTCTCTCCATATAGTAATTTTGCTCAAATACTTAAAATGACAATATTCTGTGTTTGTAATATCTTCTTTTCTTCATTTTCGTGTTTTTTTTGGGGGCGGGGGCGGGGTGGTAGAAGTACAAATTTATGAAATGTTAGCACACCTTACAATTTCACGTTATATGGGACTTTAAAAAATATATCTGAAATAGATATTGACTATATAATTTTTTGGGAAAAAGAATCTTAGAAGTTCCAAAAAATATTATAAAAGTGAGGAAAATGGAAGTTTGACACTTTACTGTTGCTTGTGACGGAAGAGTGGTATAATTAACATGTTTTGCAACTTCTGCTGCTTATCTTTCACTCATTCTCAAACAATCTCACCATAAAAGCATAAATCTAATAGAACTTACAATTAACATTACAAAATTTGAAAACATACAAAAACATAAAGATAATTTTTGCTCTCTAAAAGTACTTAAAATTACAGTATTTTGTGTTTGTAATATCTTTTCGTTTTTTTTTTTTTTTTTTTTTTTTTGTGTTTTTTTGTTTTAAAAAAAAAGTAAAAATTTATGACATTTTAACACACCTTATAATTTCACGTTGTATAGGAATTTAAAAATAATCTGAAATTGATCTTGACTGTATAATTTCTTGAAAAAATTAAAAATCTTAAAAGTTCCTAAAAAGGTTAACAAGTAGGAAAAAAAATGGAAGTTAGAGACTTACCCTTGCTTGTGATGGAAGAGGAGTGAGGAAGAGGTTGAATCCATTGATTTTGACATTTGTTTTGCCATGCCTTTTCTCACAAATCCCTCTTGCAAAATCAGTCACCATTTCACTCACATCAAACAGTTCATCACTTTAAGGCTGTCCACATTAGCAAAATCCTGTGGAATATTTTGTAGGGAAATACAATTCTTGAGAACTAGGCTTTCTAGAACTGGAAAGCTTTTCTCTAACTCCACAGATGTCCAAGTTATGAGGTTCATCTTTCCCATGCGCAAATACTAAAGCCCTTTGAAAATAACATTACTGCTTAGATTCCAATGTTCCCCTGAGAACGCATCATCATCCAACTTGAGCACTTCGAGCTCCTCCAGCGATCCCAATACAGTCATATCCTCCCACTGAAACAATGTACCAAACAAGGTCAACTTTGTTAGCCTTCTTGTAAACTTATCGAACTTCGGGACCTCTAACACTTCCTTAGAGTTGCCATGAAGCTTCAAGTTTTCAAGGCATTCTAGCATTTGAAGATTGTTGAACAAGCAAACTTTTTTTTTTTTCTTGAGAAGTTGTGATAAGTTCCCACGAACACCTAATTTTTGGAGTTCGGGGGTCTTGTTGAAGATCTGACTTGTGCAACTTGCTGGTGATATGGTAGAAAGTGCGAGGATATCTATTTGTTTACGGCTAAGCTTGCCTCTAATTTTGGGAGGAGAGGGTAATTGGACAGAGGTGTTGATGTGGACATGCCTTAGATATTCCATGTTCCATATGCCTCCATTAATTTGTAATGCGCTTTCTGTGGTTTTGATCAGTAGAGTCTCCAACCAAACAAGATCTTCAAATGACTTGGGGAGGGAACTGATATCAGCTGTGATGGCAAGATACGTGATAAAGCATTGGGAATAAAGCCCATTTGGCAGAGAGCTAAATTTGAGGGATTCAATACTCAACACCTCCAGAAATTCAAAGGTTTTTAGGATGGTTTCCAACTGCTCTGGCGTCGAATGGATCTCACTCTTTTGTGAGGAGGACAACAACAAAGAACCAACAAGGCCACAATCTCGACGTGGACCTATCCTTTTGTTGAAGAGATAGAAGAATGAATCAGATGGATTGTTTTCTACATCAAATATGTTCATAGTGTAGTAGGAACAAAGACGATTCAAATCAATTTCTGCATTTAATCTTTGCCCCTCATCCATTACATAGAATAACTCTTGCCTTTCAGCTTCACTTCTGCAGAACTCATGCAATGTGTCATGAATGCAACATGTTTTGATTTTACCATCTGCTCTTCTTTTTTTCACCATCACAAGATTTCTATCCACAAGAACATTCAAATATTTTGAAGCTTCAACTTCTTCGTCTAAATAGTATCCCCATTCATCTTTAGTTTGAATGAACCCTTCAGTAATCCATAAACGAATTAACTTCCAAACAACAATCTCATGTCCCAGGGGAAACATTGCAAAATATAAGAAGCATTTTTTCAACGTCTCATCAGGCAAATCCTTGTAGCTCAACTCTACTAGCTCACGGTAGCTTTGACCTTCTCCATTAATTTGTAGAAGAGGATTATCAGCCACTCGTTGCCAACCAGCAGCTGTTAAACAATGGCGTAGGATACCAGCTACCAGTACTAGAGCATGTGGTAATCTATTGCACTTTTCTGCTATTTTTATCCCAAGCTCTTCAAATAATGTGTCAAGGCGCTCTGTAGTACCAAAAACATTATTTTTTATTACCAACCAACCATCATCATTGCTCAACTTTCTTAAACTATGAGATTTCCAAGTAGAATCAACTGCATTGCTGCTCGATGTGGTTATCAGGACTCTACTCCCTTTCAAATTTTTAGGGAATGCAACTTCAAAACAATCCCAATCTTCTTTTTCCCGCACATCATCCAATACAATCAAGTATCTTTCATCCTCTAATAATCCCTTTACTTTAGCTCCCAACTCATCTTCTAACTCCGTGACAAAGTCTTCTGTTTGCCCGGAAATTTGATGGAGAATGTCAATGAATTTTTGCTTTCTATGAAAACCTCATGAAACATGAATCCAAACGAAATGAGTGAAATAATTTCGGATTTCTGGGTCTTCAAAAATCTTTGAGGCAAATGTAGTTTTTCCTGTTCCAGCATTCCCCACAATTGGGATGACAAAAAAATCTTTGGATGCATCCATTAATTGAGTTTTTATAGTTTTCAAATCATCATTAAAACCCAGTATCTTATTTTCACGTAACTCTGAGCGAACCTGAAAAATTATGAATACAAATCAAGTGGGGTGAGTCGGGCGGGAGGAGGGATTAACTTCCCTATGACATTTTAATAATTATTTCAGTTTTATTTCTTAAACCAACCAAACCTAGTAATATAATTTCTGAATTCTATTCATTTAGTGAACCAAACAATGAAATAGAATTTTTAATGCTTATATAATAACATTTCTATTCCTTTAAAATTGTATTTTGTAAATCAAACATGCTATTAAGGTACATACACAAATTGTCAAAATTTTAAAATTAAAAAATCACTTTACACATCTATCAACCACAAAGGTGTAAAGTTTACACTTCATATTTGCATCATATGTGTCAGTAGTAATACAGACGCTTATTGCCCACTGTTACAAACTCGAATGACGAGTTTTGTACTAATGATTTATTGTTTCTTAATCATTACAATTCTCGGCATGTTGTCATAAGTCTTAGGCCATCTTTACCTTGCTGCTCTCTTAGCTTCTTTGTAAGCTTAAAGTTAATTACCCTTTGAAGACTTGTCTTAGTGCCAGTATTCCTTACTTTTTGTGATAGTCGTCCTCTATTTCATCTTTATTGTCTTTGATTTCTTTTACTGTTTATGGACTAACTAAGACCACTTTTACAAAGACTTAAAATTAGTGATTCTAAAATGTTAAAATAACTACAAACTGAGAAGCTAGCTCAAGATTATTTCACTGGTTTTTTTTTTTTTTTTTTTCTATTTCGGTGATGAGGAATAACCACAATAAACTCAAAAATGTGCTTTGGATTAACTCATTCCTGTGTAATAGTTTGCTATATTTTCTTGATGAAAACATGAAATAATAGGCTTTACAAAAAGAAATATTGTTCAAGATCATTTTTTAATAAACAAGGTTTATTAAGTGATCAGGACACCTCCATGATCGTGGAAGAACTCGTGACATGGTCTGATTCCTGTCACGAGCGTGGCAGATGTCGTGACCAGGTCTGAACCCCCGAGACCCGGTCACGAGTCTGTCACAATCGTGACAGGGTCTGAACCCGTGTCACGAGTCTGTCACAATCGTGACAGGAGTCCAGCAGCTAGGTCACGGGTTTTGACCCTTTAAAAAACACTCTTCTTCATTCTAACACCCCCATTCACGAAATTCCTCTACCTAACTTGCACATGAATTCCATATTGATGTAATGAATATGATCTTGTATAGTAATTATTGAAACAAGTAATTTGAAATATGATAATTTGGGAATAGATTTTTTGTGGTACCTTGAGAGGTGGCAGATGAGTATGTTCGTTGTAGTCCTCCCGGAGGTGTCGAAGGTCTTCTTTGTGGTCTTCGCTAATGGTTTTCACTTTCTCCTTAATGGACTGGATCTTACTCGCAACATTATTGAGCTTTCCACAAGGCCGAATCTTATCAAAAGCTTTTGCCAAGGGATTCTCCCCATGCTTCTTCTCCTGTGCAAAGTAGTTGGTAACCGCATCCCTGGCTTCATTAGAAAGTGTTCGGAATTTTTTTATTATTACTCTCAAAACACAGTCTTCATTGGCCTGTGGGTTCTTGCAAGCTACCACCAAGTTCTCTGTAAACGTTTTGATTAGGGAGGTGATGTCCTCTATCTCAGACTTCACAATAATGTCAGAAACCTGGTTGACATTGTCTCCTACAGTTTGGACTAGCATCTTTACCGCCTGCTCTACTTCCGCTATCACTTTGTCAAAGTCAATCGGTCTCTCTATCTGTGAACAAATACAAAATTAACAAAATTAATTGAAAGCATCGTTATAAAAATCGATAGGCCATCATCGGGCGATCGGGGGCGCCTATAGCTTAGGGCGATTAATCGGGACCTAGGCGTCCTTGTATTTTTATTTTTTATTTTTTTAAAATAGTTTATGTTTTTTTTAAAAAAAAAAATTTGTAGATTTTAAGCGCGGTCATGCCAATAGTTATGCAAATATGCACCAATAATGTTAGGAAATGCACAACAAAAAAATGAATAAATTAGGTACCTATCACCAAAAACGCACCATTAGACATGAATAAAAGTATCACACAGTGTCCGGAAATGCACAATTAGGGGGTGGGGAGTTATGGTGCATTTTTTTTTGGATGTGTTGTGCATTTTTTTGGTGTATTTGTGCATTTCATTGTTGTGCATTTCCTAACACTGTTGGTGCATATTTGCATAACTATTGGTGCGGCCGCACTAACCGCACTGGAAGGCGCGACCGCATTTGAACTTTTGTCTATATATATATACATATCTAGGATCAGGTGCGAAGGACTCCCTAAGTGAAAAATGTACACAAATTTCAGCGACTAAATTCATACAAATCGGATCTTTTATTAAAAAAAAAAAAAAAAAAAAAAGCTTCAAATTAACAAAATCGGTGCTTGAAAGCACAAAAACATGCACTTGAAGGCCAAAAATTCTGCACTCGAAGGCACAAAGAGGTGCAATCGAAGCAATTTTTGGCACCAAAAAAGAAAATTAGTTATTCAACTTAAGTGTTATTAAAGCAATTGCCCTTACAAATCATATGTAAATTTCACAAATTCCATTAGAAATCCAGTTATAGATTGTTAAAAAGAAGACAAAACATAAAATAAACACTTGATCATAATTGTGCACTTGAAGACACAAAAATATGCACTTAAAGCATAAAAATGTGCACTTGAAGGTCAAAATTCTGCACTCGAAAGCATAAATATGTTCAATTGAAGCAATTTATGGTAGCAAAAATTAAAGGAAAGTTATTCAACATCAGTATTATTGAAGCAATTGTCCATACAAATCATTTGTAAATCTCACAAATTTTATTAGAAATTTAGTTATAGATTATTGAAAGGAATGCAAAACATATAATAAACATTGATCCATAAATATGCACTTGAATGCACAAAAATGTGCATTTGAACGCATAGAAATATGCACATAAAGACTAAATTTTTGCACTCAAAGATATAAAGGTTTGCATTTAAAGGAAAAACTACGTACTGAGACAAAGCATATATGCACTCGAAAAAAGAAAAATACGCACTTGAAGAAGGAAAAATATACACTCGAAGAAAAAGAACATATAAACTTACCTACTCAAAATTACAACAATGCCACCGCGCATTTTTTTATTTTTCTTCATTTTGGACTGTTGATTTGGACTAGATCTATAGTTGAGATTTAACCCTTTTTTTTTTTTTTACCTAAATCCTTCCTTCACATATGATTCTCACACACACACACATAGATATTGGTTCAAATGCGGACAATGTTTCCCTTGTGGCGGGTACAGTTTCACCATTATGTATGTAAAAATGCACCACACAATGTTCAAAAATGCATCAATGCACCACACAGACAAAAAAATATGCCACACTACACCACACCTAATGGTGCATTTTCAAACACTTTGTGGTACATTATGCGTAATTAATCGTAAGTGACCGCACGACCGAATGGGAAACACTATCTGCACGGGAACCTGACCCTACACACACATACACACTAGAGATCAAATGCGAGGAATGTCTTAGACCATTGGGGGCATAACTTTAAAATGTTATCTTTGCACAGTAAGGTCCATAAATTTAGTTTGAACCTTGGGGTGCATAGAGTTTAGCCTACGAGTTCATACATTTTAATCATTAGGTGCATATCTTTGTTGCTTTAGGTGCATATCTTTGTTGCTTTAGGTGCATAAATTTAGTTTGAACTACAGGTGCATAATTTTCAACCTTTAAGTGCATAACATTAAACTTACTATGTATAACTTTGAAAATTAAATGAAGATACGGGTGCATAACTCTAGTAGGCGTGATTTTATTTTTTTACCAACTGCTCAAATCTCACTCAATTTTTCATATGGGAGTTCCTTAGCACGTGAACCGTCCCCTAATATATATGCAATTAACTGAATATGAGTTTGCTAAAACAAACTCATTTGATAAGAAAATGCTATTTACTCCTCCGAATTTTATCCCTAATATTTCTCTCATGATGTGGCTAATAATTATTATATTATTAGGTGTTCATGAATTGGGTGATCTTACTATTAATTAAAAATAAAGTTACTTGTCCAATTAGAAAATATCATGTAAGGAGAGAAAGATTAGAGGAAAAACTTTTGGAGGATAGGCAGCTAACATTATTACTTTGAAATATGATAATTTAAAAGTAGTTTTTGTGGTACCTGGGGAGTTAGCAGAACATTGTTCCGGTTGATCATGGCGAGGGAGTGAAGATCATTTTCATATTGTTGGCAAAGTATTTTCACCATTGACTTAACAGACTGGATCTTACTCTCACAAGATTTAACATTTCTTCTCATGCGTGCCGAAAACTTTGTGAGGGTTTTGACTTTATACTCTATCGTCAGCAACCAGTACTTGTGAGCCACATCTTTGGCTTCATTCACAATAGTTTGGAAGTTTTTCATTATGAAAACATTGACAGGTTCAATTGGATTCCTGTAAGCTGCTTCCTGGAGCCTGGCATTTAACATTTCGATATCTAAGCTCACATTCTTTAACTCCGAATATAAGCCAGGAGGCCGCCCAGAACTCCGCTCTACATATTTAACCATCTCTTTTACCGCCTCTATCATTGTGTCGGTGCCGGCCGTCATTGGTCCCTCTCCCTGAAGAAATAAGAAATGCATTTGATCTGATATCCTCTGAAAGTGAGAAATGCAAATAAATGTTGGGTTTTATATTTGAGTTCTACTACATAAACTCCCAAATTGTACTCCCTCATTTGTACTCCCTGAGGTGACAAACCAGGATTGGTTATTTTCAACATGTGGGTCCACAGAAAAATGTCTACATCAAAAACATGTGAGAGGGAGTACAAGTTGGGAGTATAAAATGGGAGTACACCAAGTATTTTCCTTTATATTTTTAGGAGGTGTTTGGTTGGATGTAATTGTAATTCTTTTTCTATTTTTTTTTAAATGCTACTGGCTCTATTACAATATAGTATCTGTTCATATTCTTTTCCTACTTTATTTCATTGCAAAACAAATTACAGTGTTTGGTTGGAGGGAATTGCAATCCCACGGTATCCCATGAATTGCAATTCAATGCTTTTGGGAAAAGAAAAAATGGATGAAATGACAAAAATACCCTTGATAATTGTTATTCTTTTTATTACATAGGGACATTTTAGTCTTTATATCACTTTTTTCCTTTTAATTCCCAATAATTCTATTTTTCCTACAAAACAATGTAATTTGAATTCCTACCTTATTCTTTTCCCACCGAATTGCAATTTATTTCCTTCATAATTCCTTCATCCCAACCAAACACCCCGTTATGGTTTTAAACTGTAACTTTAAAATTATTTTCCTTTAAATATTATTCAATGTGTCCTATTTTATGGCTCTAGTTTACTTAATAATGTTCCATTGAAATTATTAAAATTTAATTTTTCACAAAATTAAATTTAATATTACCGATAAATTAAATGACTACATCAAGCATTCAAAAAAAAAAAATGATTACATCAAAAATATTAAATGAGTAAATGGGGAAGATAGAGAATTACCATTTTAGAGGTTATGTGGAGCTGGAGCTGGAATCCACTGTTTCTGAGCTTTTCTTTGACCTCTTTCGCAGACTGAACAGCACTTTCACTCATGTCAACCAATTCCATCACCTCAAGGGTATGAACATTAGCAAAAGCTTCTGGAATACTTTTTAGGGAGCTACAGTTTCGAAGGACTAGACTTTGTAAAGCTGGGAAGCTATTTTGTGAGACCTTCCAAGTTACTAGGTTCGTCCTTCCAATGCGCAAATATTGAAGCCGTTTGAAAACAATATTTTTATACCTTAGATCACAAACCTCTCCCTTGAATGCATAGTCATCCAACTTCAGCACCTCAAGCTCCTCCAACAACCCCAATACGAACATGTCTTTCCAATCAAATACTGTGCCGGAGAAGGTCAACTTTTTTAGCCTAGGTGCTTGATTGACCCTCATTGGGAGCGTTAACACTTTATCACACATGCCATAGAGCTTCAAATTTTCAAGGCATTTTAACATTTTGAAAATGACACTTTCCGATTCATTGAGAAATTCTGATAAATCCCCACGAACACATAATTTTTGGAGATTGGGGGTCTTCCAAAAGATTCCTCGTGTGCAACTCCTTGGCAATATTGTAGAAAGTGTGCGGATGTTTTTTCCTCCAGATTCAATTGTGCTTCTTTTTGGAGGAAAGGGTAATTTCATAGAGATATTGGTGTGTACATGCCTTAATTTTTTCAAGTTCCATATGCCTTCATCAATTTGTAGTTCCCTTGCTGTGGTCTCGATCACTAAAGTCTCCAATCCACGAAGATTTTTGAATGATTTGGGGAGGGAATCGAGATTGCCTTTGATGGCAAGATACCTAAGGAGATGTAGGTTACAACGCCCATTCCTTTTCAACTTTAACTTGTTCGAGATTTCAATGTTTAACACCCTAAGAAGTGGAAAGGTGTTTGCAATGGTTTCTAATAAATTCTCTTCTCTATAATGAGCCTCACCCTTTTGAGAGGAAAACAACAACAAAGAATGGATATGTTTGCCAAATAATGGGCATAAACTCCTCTTTTGCTCGTAGGATTTGATGAGCACGTCAAATTTGTTTTCAGTAAAGGAGTGAAAACAAAGACGACGAATTGAAGAAGTATTCTCATGAAAAGTTGAAGAAGTATTCTCATCTACTCTTTGCCCCTCATCCATTACATGGAATAAATTTATCCTTGCTGCTTCACTTTTGCAAAACTCATGTAATGTGTTGTGGATACGACAAGTTTTTATTTGTCCATTTATTCTTCGTTTTACCACCATCACAAGATTTCTATCCACAAGATCATTCAAATATTTTTGAGCTTCAACTTCCGCATCTAAAGCATACCCCTGCTCATCTATTGTTGGAATGAATTCTTCAGCAATCCATAAACGAATCAACTTCCAAACAACAATCTCATGTCCAATGGGAAAACATGCAAAATATAAGAGGCAATTTTTCAACTTCTCATCAAGCAAATCATTGTAAGTCATTTTTACTCGATCACAATAAATTTGGCCTTCTCCATTAATTTTTAAAAAAGGATTTTTAGCATGCCGTTGCCAGTCAGCAATATTCCTACATTGACGTAGCATACCACCTACTGCTACTAGAGCTAGTGGTAATTCATTGCATTTATTTGCTATTTCTTTCCCCACATTTTCTAATGATTTCTCATTGCATTCCTCTGTACCAAAAGCACTATTTTTCAACAGCAACCAACCTTCCTCATTGCTTAACTTTCCTAAATTATGAGATTTCCAGTTAGAATCAACTACATTGCCATATGGGGAGGTCACCAAGACCCTACTTCCTTTCATGTTTGTAGGGAATGCAACTTTAAAAAAATCCCAATCTTCTTTTTTTCGTACATCATCCAATACAACAAAGTACTTTTGATCCTTTAAAAGTTCACATATTTCACGTGCCAACCCTTCTTCAGTCATCATGCTAATGTCCTCTCTACGGCGGGTAATTTGATAGATGATGTCAATGAATTTATGTTTTCTATCAAAACCTTGTGAAACATTAACCCAAATGTACTTGCTGAAATTTTCCGGAATGCACTTTTGGTCTTCGAAAATCGTCGAGGCAAATATGCTTTTCCCAGATCCAGTTATCCCACAATTGGGATGACAATAAAATTATCATATGCCTCTATGAAACGGTCCTTTATGATTTTCAAATCCTTTTCAAATCCAAATACCTTGTTTTTCTCTATTGTTGGTCGAACCTAAATAATTGAAGAAAAATCATTACAAATCTATACTAACCAAGTGCTAAGGTGATAAATACAAATATTCAAGTTCAATATATTCCAAATAATTATTAGTACTGTGTACTCTTCAAATGTTGAAACCATCTTTTAATTTGAACAAGTTATAATTTTACTTAAGAACCTATATATATGCAATATTCAATCTTAACCTACCCATCACAATGAGCACACTGAGTTGGAACTGTCGGGGTTTGGGTGGCTCCCGGACAGTTCGTGAGCTATTGGGCGTGGTGTCCAATCAGAAACCCGACTTCGTTTTCCTGATGGAAACGAAGTCTGTTACCAGTCAACTAGAACAAGTGAGGATTCGTATGGGTTTGAAGGGATGGTGTGTGTTGACCGTGTGGGCTTGGGTGGAGGTTTGGCTCTTTTTTGGAGGGATTTAGACACGGCTGATTTGCTGAGCTACTATAACAATCACATTGATGTGATTGTGTTGTTACCAGGAAAGCCTAACTGGAGACTGACATGCTTCTATGGAATACCTGATCGTTCAAGAAGGCATTTATCTTGGGATCTTCTACGTCAACTCAAGGAGCGTTCTCATCTCCCGTGGGTTATCTTAGGGGACTTCAATGACATCGCTTGCCCGTCTGAAAAATGAGGGGTGCATCCGCATCCGGAAGCACTTATTGATGGGTTCAATGATGCCCTGGGCGACTGTCAACTAGTCGACTTGGGTATGGTTGGTCCTCGGTTTACATGGGTGCGTGGGCGAGGCACGGAAGCTTGGGTAGATGAACGCTTGGACCATGCAGTACCACCAATCGAGTGGTTAGATGTGTACGAGGATGCGGTAGTCCAGAATTTACTAATGTTATCATCCGATCATAGTGAGATTTTCCTGGACTTACGACTCCTATTCGGGCAGTCGTGAGGGGTTTTAGATTCGAATCTGGTTGGTTGTTGGAGGAGGGTTGCGATAAGGTGGTTGATTTAGCGTGGAGGCAATCGGTGGGGTTAGATTTTCAACAACGAATTGCAGTGTGTGGCCAGCACTTATCGAGATAGGGATGGGAGTACAGACGTGGTTTCGGACGTCGTATTGCAAGCTTACGTAACAAGTTAAATCAGTTACGGGAGGATAAAAGTCACCAATCTGTACATGAGTTTTTGGTGGCCGATGAAGAGTTGAACTCATTGTTGTGCCAAGAAGAGGTGTTTTGGAGGCAGAGGTCAAAGCAGCTGTGGTTAGATCCGCAGGGGGTATGGCGGGAAGGAACAACCATGCATGCGGAGGTGTTAAGGTATTTTAACAGCATTTTCCAGTTTGAAAATGGTACTTCGGATTTGTTCACTAGAGTTCAAGGCCGTGTAACTAATGAGATGAATGAGATGTTAATGCAACCGTTTATGGTGGCGAATGTGAAGACGACACTATCCTCTATGGCCCCGGAGAAAGCCCTGGGTCCGGATGGTATGTCGCCGGCCTTCTATCAACAGTTCTAGCCAGTTCTGGGCCATGGTCTATCTATGTTTGTCCTGCATTGTATTGCATGCGGCACGTTCCTACAGGGCCTTAACGACTCCAATATTGTCCTGCTTACGAAGACAAAAATGCCTGAAAAGGTGGCCGATTTACTCCCGATAGCTCTTTGCAATGTCATTTACAAGATCATTGCTAAAGTTTTGGCCATTCGGATGAAAGGGGTGTTGGACTCTGTGATTTCAGCATCGCAAAGTGCCTTCGCTCCTGACCGTTTATTAACATATAACATCATTGTGACCGGGGAAATTGGGCATTTTTTTAGACGGAAGACCAGTGGTACAATGGGTTGGGGCGGCTTTAAAACTTGACATGGCCAAGGCGTATGACAGGATGGAGTGGGGTTTTTTGGAGGGCATGTTAGTAGCACTCGGGTTTGACCGTAGATGGATTGATATGTTGCTTCAATCATTACGACGGTTCGGTATGTTATACAGGTGAATGGGGAGGGCGTTGGATCTGTGTGTTCGACCGCGGCATTAGGCAAGGCGACCCTTTTGTCGTCGTATTTATTCATTCTCTGCGCCGAGGGTTTATCGATCTTATTGCAACAGGCGGAGAGCCGTGGGGATATACATGGGGTGCGTGTGGCTCAGGGGGGGCTCCTGCCGTTTCGCATTTATTCTTCGCAGACGATAGTCTCCTGTTCTTCAGGGCTACCCAGTTTGAGGCACAAGCGATTAAATCTTGCTTGGACACATATAGCGCAGCTTCGGGCCAGTTGATCAACTTCGACAAGTCTAGTGTCATGTTTAGCCTTAACACTGATACGGAGGCGCGTGATGTGGTCATGAAGTGCATGGGGGTTCACGAGGCTGTTGATTTGGGGCATTATCTTGGTTTGCCTTCAGTTTTGGGGCGGAACAAGACAACCACTTTTCAGTAGTTGAAGAAAAAATTCGAGAACGGATTGGTGCGTAGCAGCATAAATTCCTCTCTAAAGCCGGTAAGGAAGTTCTGCTCAAAAGTGTAGCCCAAGCGATACCTATTTTCACTATGTCCGTCTTTCTGCTTCCGATCCGGGTTTGTGATAAAATTGAAAAATTGTTTAACCGTTACTGGTGGGGTAGAGGGAGCTCGGGCAGTAGGGGAGTGCATTGGTTAAGCTAGGTGAGGTTGTGTGTGCCAAAGAGCCGGGATGGGTTGGGGTTTAAGAAGCTTCATGAGTTCAATATAGCCCTTCTAACCAAACAGGGATGGCGGCTTTTGACGCAACCGGATTCATTGGTTAGCCAAATAATGAAGTCAAAATATTACCCCAAGAGTAGTTTTATGAAAGCCCGGCTTGGTAATAATCCCAGCTATATTTGGCGTAGCATCGCGGCGGGACAATCGGTGTTGAGGAGGGGTTTGGCTCCGCGGATTGGAGATGGCAAGGACACAAATATATGGGACTGGCCTTGGTTGGCAGATTCATCCAATTCTTCTTTACTTACAACACGGATAAAGGAGTTGAGGGAGGCGAGAGTGAGTGGCTTGATGTCTGTTGACAGAACGTGGGATGAAGAAGTGCTCCGAGATATCTTCAACGAAGGTGATGTCGTCAAATTCGCGCCACTCCCATATCTACTCATTTACGGGATTCTTGGCGTTGGATTGGAGATATTCGGGGGTGTACAATCTCAAACACGGGTACAAATTGCTCACTGAGTCTATTCTCAGGTTATAATCGGTGCCGACATTCAATGCTTGGGAGCGGTTGTGGATGATCCCAGCTAAGCCAAAAGTGCATAACTTATTATGGGAGTAAAAGAAATTTTTGGTCCTAGACTTATAGTGGCACGGACAGTTTTAGTCCTCCATAAAAAAATCAGACAATTTGTGGACACTCTTATTGTGACGACGATAATTTTGGTCATCCGTCACTCTTGTCGTTAAATGACCATTTGAGAAGAGGGTATTTGCGTCATTTCAGGATATCCTCTTTATTCCATCCCTAATCTTCTGTTTTGTTCTTCCGCAGCAAAGCCACTTACGCAAACAAATTTGTCCACACATATACTATCCGATAATAACTAGGAAAGTATGAATCTTTTCTTGAAAATCAGCTGATTTGGATCTCTGGGATGATGCCTCGACATTGCTCTCATTGCAGCAACAACGGTCACAACTCAAGGATGTGCTCGGGAAGGGGTAGCGCCGCTGCTGGCGGCGGCGGCGGAGAAGTGATGCTCTTCAGGGTGAGGCTTACGGATGGGTCGATCATGAAGAAGAGTGCTATCATGGGGAACCTCTCCGCTCTCTACCATTCGTCCTCGTCAACCGCCGCGTCTCCCCACCCGGGATAGATCTTGGACTAATCTTCAATGAGGTCATGAATTCCACATGGGTTTAGTTCAATTCTGAGCACTTAGCTATCTGATTTTGTAATTAAGT